GCCCCATCTTCTTGTGTCTTGTTACTAAGATTGTTTCCTTTGTGAAATTTGTCTTGACTTTGGACAGATAACTTAGATTCACATAATAAAAGTTCTGAATGCTTTAAAAATTGCTGGTCTTTTTATAGGCAGATTTGACACTCTACTTAATATATGTTTTCCTGAACTGAAAATGAGTGTCCATTTATAAATAATTTCAGCAAGTTGACTATAGCTGTCGAGTTGTCTCAAGTATTAAAAAGATTACAGGAAACCATTCAGTAAAGCCTGACAATGAAAATAAAGAATTGTGGGCCATCTGGTTCCCTCCCAGGTACTCATTAATGTGTTCTGACATGTTTCAAATTGTAGGTCACAATCTCTTTACACTTCTGGAAAGTTCATTTTCAGCCAGTATTGTGGAAATGAGACTGAAGCATTTTTGTCTTTTCTATGACAACTGAGTTAACTGAAGTGATGTCTTTCATTAGCCTAGAGAGTCACAAGAATGAATAGCTTAGTCATGTTCCCACCACACAATAAAAGAAATCGGTCACTTAGACTCATGAAGTCCACAGAGAATTAGAGAGAGCCCAATTTTTATTGTGATATAGGTTTGTTATGAGGATTCAAGGTCACAGTAAAGAAACTAGTATTTGCTAAGGAGCCAATATATATTATCATTCTTGTTATTTTAATTCCTAAAGAATGTTATAGGAAGAAAGCAAGACCAAGACTGTCTGAGGTCTATGACTCCTCCAGCCATAGGTTATTGACCATATACATATTTACAGTACCAGACATGAGTTCCCTCCTTTTGAGTCAGCCTTAAGTGCAATCTGACAGTTGCTGGTTACTCCTAGGGCATGACTGCATGATTATACAACTGGGCATACTTTTCTGGTTCCAGTTGCTATAGTTCATTGTAGCTCACAGTACTTATTAAAGTTAGGTTACACAGGTAGGTTGGACTCGATAACTTTTCTCCCCCATAAGCTTCACAGCAGTTTCAAACACTATAAGTGTTCACTAGCCCTTAGGGAAGAGCCTTCTCAGTCAGTACCAGATTGGTGTCTCCAAGTTCTGTGACCAAAATGTGTGCTGTCTTCAGTGAGAGGGTTGTTCATTCAAGTTCTGGAGGACACAAAAGCAATGGTACTAGCCTGTATTGTTTGGTGGTCTCTTGGTCCCCCACAATCAACAATTTGAATCCCAGACATTGGGCTTTTGGATGGATAGTCTATGGATTCTAGGGGAAGAATTATCTTCCTTGTGGGGCAATTCCACTTAAACATATATATGTAAAATTTTATTTATGCATGATACTGTTTCATAAGCTTTACATATAGCTTATAACATATAGTTTCCCAGTGGATTGTTCAAACACCCTTACTGTAGTTTGTCCCTCTTTCACATTCCCTCTGTACTATCTTCCCACTACACTCCCCACTTAAATCTGCCCCTCTGCTTCTGTCTTTCCCCCTTCATAGAACCCGTGTCCCACTGCCCCCAAACCCAAAGAGTTCTTTTCATTTGAATTATGCAGTAAAAGTTATCTCACTGCCTACTCTCAACTGACTCTTTAACTTGGCTCATTCCACTTTTGTTCCTTTTTAAGCTCTGTATAACTGATCAATTCAGGATTAGGAGTAGTTGGACTTATTATCAACAATTATAAATCCCCCCTTCTCTACTCCTCTAAATGAACTTTTTCAAAACTTGATTTATTGACATAATGTTGTGAGTCCTAATAACAGTCCCGTGAGAGTATAGAAACTACTAAGGAATAAGGTCATACATTACAAAATAAATACATTCATGAAAGTAATATCTGCAAATTTAGTTGCTAATCTCAAAAATATCCTAAGATATCCATGACAGATAGAGTGTCATAAATTATTTTCTATTTTAAATGAGAGAATAATTGACTACTATTATGCTTTATACTAATTTCCATGAACTTTTCCAAGTAAGTTTTATCTTAAATACATCTCCCTATGAGCAGGTCATAGAAATGGGCCCTTGTTGGTATAATCAATTTTAAAATATTTCACTTGTGGTGTCTTCTGATATCAATATAGTTCATACTTTTAAAGTGCTCATTATTAAAGAAAAAAACCTCAAGAAACAAGAAAAACTCATTCATACACGCAAAATTTTAATTATGCCTCTCAGATGTGTTCTTTTAATTAACTGGTGACATTTCCTTTGTTCAATTATTATTGTTCTATACAACTGTCATATTATAATTAAACTTGCTCCAAACCCTAGTTATATAGTGTCCACATAGGAATTTTCCAAAAGGCTTAACTGTAAGTACATCAATAATGAATAAATCCATGAAGTACCCACTGGGATTTGTTTAACAAATTAACATGTGTGTGGAGATAATGAGATTCTACACTCTATAACACCAATGTTTATTTTTAAAGCATTACATTTTATAAGTGAAAAATACTTTGCAAATGACTTAATTGGATCTAATAATATTAATTATTAGTTGCTAAAGATAATAAATTATATGAGTATGTCTCCGATTGAATTCAAATGATGACTAATTTATATTGGTAATCTGAAATATAATTTTCCTTGATCATGTAACTGTGGAAATCAAGATCTGCTCAATTAGGTATATAGATGAAGTTGATATACTATAGATATTAATAATGCAGCAGTGTCTGGATGAGTGATTGGAACATAACTTTAAACGCTGTTTCAGTTCAGGACCCATTAAAAATACAGTAAATTTAATGCCTCACAGACTTTTATATGTGGGAATGCTACATGGGTTCAATAGATACTTTAGAATGTCACATATTTAGTTGGCCTACGTATTTCTCAAGATAAATGTATATAATTCATCCTGCTAGATGAATGGTTTTATTATATTAATGAAAAAGTTGGTGCTGATAAGTGATTAAATCTCCAAACAAATCATTTACCTAGAAATTTGTTTTTAAGGCAAACCACTTATACTTGTGTTACAAAGTTTAATCACAGAATTTTGTTGAATTCTCAGTCTCATTTACATGTTACATAAGGTCTTAGTATCATAACTTCTTCTAAAACAATAAAATGTATTCTAATATAAGCACTCATAGTCTTTAGGAAAAGTGAAAAGTATGTGCTAAGCTTCCTAATGCTTTTTTTCAGTATTCCGAATACTTTTTTCTAAAGAGTTATTAAGGACTTAGAATATATTAATTAATAGCTAATCATGATTCAAGATAATTTGTAGGCATAAAACTGACAAGCATCTATTAGAATAGAAATGAACAATAGCTTGATTTCTCTGAACTTTGTTCAAAATTCTTCTTTCTGTGATTTTCACTTGGCATTACACTAATTACTTCAAAGAATGCCATAAGCAACACAGACACTGAGAACTCCCAGGAAAATATAAATTCACTATTTGGAGATATGAGAATCATATATACTGATTTTCCATTTGACTAGTTAAATTAAATGGTACTAAAATGGAATGTGCATAGATGGCAATTTAAGAGTTGCTTAATATCCCCTACACTGAATTTTTACTATGTATCAGAGTTCTTTTTTCTTAAGAACATATTCTAAGTTTAGTAGAAGTCAGTAAGAAAATATTTTCAATGTTCACTTACATGCCATAGTAAACTCTTTTGCTATTGCATAAATCAAAGCCAATCTCAATCCTAACACATCGAGTCTATCCTCACAGTTTAAAAGCAGAATATACTACATTTTACCATATCTAGAGAGTAGTTATAATTTTAGGTGTCAAAGAGGATGACATCAGAATTTCTGGTATAGTTTATTTACATTTACTATGAACTTAACTTGAGATGGGGCAATGGATTTTGGTTTTCAGGTACATTATTTGTGCAGTGGGAAATAAATCACAGATTTTGGAGTTCAACATATGAAGCTTTAAAAATGGCAGTGTTGGGCCAATTTTAAAATGAACATAACATTTCTAACCATTATAAAAAATAATGCAAATTAGAACTACTTTGAGATGCGATTTCACCCCAGTCAGAATGGCCGCCAGGAGGAAAAAAATGACAATAAGGCTAGAGAGGCTGTGAGAGAAGTGGCAAACTGACACCCTCACCGGGAGTGTAAACTAATACTACCACTGTAGAAATCAGTGTGCAGAATTCTCAAAAACAAACACTCAGACTTCCGTATTACAGAACTATGTGGGTCCTGGACACGTACCTAAAGGGCTCTGTCTCCCACTAAGGGGACACCCTCACGTTTTATTTCTGCTCTGTTCACAATACTTGGGAAACAGAATCGAGATGAATGGATGGTGAAAATGTGTTTACATACACGATGGAAATTTAATAAGGTGCAAAGAAAAATGAAATTCCCAGGAAAAAGGATGGAATTGGAAAACATTACATGGAGTGAAGCAGCTTGGGCTCAGAAAGACAAATACTGTGTGTTCTCTCTCCTAACTGCAACCTAGCCTCTATCTGTTACATACGTGTACCCAAGCAAGCCGGAAAAGTATGCTTGAAGGCCAGCAAGCTGGAAATGGACCCATGTGACTAGGAAAAGAAGAGGTTTTAATGGAGGATTTGGAAAGACAATAGAACAAAGGGGGGGATTCTGTGGGTAACAGAGAGCAGTGGGGTAAGGGAGACAAATAGCAAGAAGGGGAAAGGCAAGAACCAACCCAAAAGGAATTTGTATTAAGACTCTATATGAAATGCTTTTGATTTACGAGTTAATATGTGTGTGCTTTAAAAGAAAAATAAATAAGAAAAAATTGGCACGCTTAGTGATGTTTTTGACTCTGATTTTCATCTTATCACATGGTATACAGTGAATCCACATTAATGGTTATTACTGTGGTAAAATTTTGTGACTTGAAATTTGATAAAATGAATTTAAAATATCTTTGATATTGGTGAATTAATTATTACATTTAATTTATGTTAATTTCACCTGTGGTCTAATAATATTAAATGCTTAACTTACATTTTCACATTCAAAGGAAATGCAAATGATTTGAGAATGGGAGATCAGATACTTACCTAAAATGGATGGTATGCAAGTGCCTCCATTCTGACAGTAGTTGCTACAGTGGTTGACTTCACACCTTCCTCCTGAGTAACTGGGCCAACAGTGACACCTCAGATCTCCCTTCTCATTCAAAGTACACCTTCCTCCATTTTCACATGTCAGTTTACAGGAATCATCTAGTTGGAAGAAATATAGATCAGCATGTTTATAAGGTATATTTCAAGTAATACATGAAAGCAAAACTATTTAAATACTAGAATTTATGTTTTTCATAAAGTTTCTCTAAGCATAAATGTTGAAAAATTAAGCACTAGCTGAAAACATATTTAATATGTTTTATCTTTAAACTTAAATTACTGAGCAAGAAAACTAACACATTACAAAAGTAATATATTTTACCATAGGTAAATTTTCCTTTCTAAGATCATATATCATTTATGTATAGTAATACAATTTATGTCTTAAATAACACTATGATAAAATGATTTGATATAGTTTTAAACAAGAAAAGAGAAAATTTTCAGGTTAAGAATTCCTCACTGCAGAAGAAATTTGAAAATAAAATTCACTTTTTCTAAGTGAGTCAATGTGACAAATTATTTCAGTGCCTATTCATGTCTATTCCCACTGTGTTAATGGTCAATGGAATTAAAAAGAAAGCCTAGTTTTCTCAATTTCTGCCTCAAAGGAATAACACATGTTGAATTCTTTTGGAATACAAAAATGGTTCTTGCAACTTCAATACATGTTCTTGCTTCACTAGAAACCCAGTATTACTTTGAGTAGACTATAATAGTCAATGGAGCAAGAATAAAAATAGTTTATTCTAGAATATAACCTCTACTAAACTTGAATTTATTACATAGTGAAATTAATATAGTCTGTGCTATTTATTCAAGAGGAACTTTCCCACATACAGCAGAAACTTGACTGTATTTCTACACTTGGGAGAAGAACATTTTAGATAAACTTTCTGGCTTCTTTGCCATGTAGATAAGTTTTAATGGGTATTATTAAATTTGTGTTTATGAAATGAAGGATTCAGTCATGAGGCAATATATTCATATAAAGAAATTACAATGTGTGATAATAAAACTTATGTTTAGGTTGTTTTTCTGCATATTGCTGTGCATGGAAGTTAACTAACCATAAGTTGCTCTAGTTAAAATGAATTGACTAACTATAAGAAAAACTCAAATTTGCTGTGAATATTAAATCAATAGACATCTGTAAAATATTAAAATTCTAAATCTTTATAAGTACTAATTCCTAAGTATATAATGCACACAGGAACATAGCTTGCAGATATTCTAGCACACTATAATGTCTAGAAGAAAGAAGAATGGAGGAGACTTGGATCTGCACTGTGCATTGCTAGAGGCCACAGGCACTACCGTGGAGTTACTTATTTGGAAACTTTTTGGAGTCACATTGTTTCCACACATTATTTCCTGAGTGCCCACAAGCATCACTTTGAACAGTAGCTCAAATGGAGGAAAGTCACATAGCACGGGCAGAATGGAATGGATCCTATTGTGACTGGACCTGGGTCAGTGAGTGTGAGGAAAAGAATCACAGGAGCTGAGACTTTGAAGAGATACACACAGGATATGAGAGATCATTCAGCCTTGGTCTTTTTCCTAAATATGAGACTATGAAGAGCATAGGAGGCTTGAGAATGGGTATACTGCAGACATTAAACTGAAAGCAGCAAGACACTTAGCACTGTTTGTGGAATTACGCAGGCTGGGTAGTAAAAGGGTAACCTAAACAGCAATGTGGGATGAATAAATGTGAGAGAATTCTGCGTGTAACGGCAAAGTGAAAACCAATCAGTGATGTAGGAAGGGCATGGGATAATTAAGATGAAACTTTAGTTTCTGACCAGGGTGAATAGGTGGGAACAATATGGTAATATTAAGTGAAGGACTGATTCACCTTAACATACAAAATTAAGATGCCTTGCAAGCACACTTAGGAATCTTCAAAAAAGGATATACTATAAGGAGATTATGTATACTTAGCGAAGAAACATGTTTGCTTACTTTATAGTTTACCAATACATATCTAACTCTTTCAGATAAATATGTCCTAAGAGGAGTTTTAAATGAAGATATTGGAGATAAACATTTGAGGGCCTATGATCATGAAATCACTATGGGAAGAATAATTTTCACCTGTGGATTCTATATATAAAGCACATGTATATCCAAAATCCACACATGTTGGGGAATGAATATTACTAATTTAGGATTTATTGGGGATCAGCAATTTTAAAATAGGACACTATTTGATGAAATAGAACTTACATTACAGTATTTCAAGATAGAATGGTTCTAAAATTTAAAAAAAGAAGTCTACTTTTGGCAATAACCTAGTCACCCCCAAGCAACTGGGCCCCAGCAATTACAAGCGACAAGCCCCCAGCAATTACAATCAACTATAGAATAATCTATTAGGGACAAACTTCCTGATGAGTTTTTTTTTAATAAAATTGTTCAAATTATGACTAATGCCTTTATGACAGAATTTTCTGTCAATTTCACTGGATAGGTTAGAGAAAACTTTTCCTTTTCTTTCTCATCTTAATGATTTTCTTTAATTTTTAAACAACAACAACAACAAAAATATGTATCTATGCCTGGCGTGGTGGCACACACCTTTAATCCCAGCACTCGGGAGGCAGAGGCAGGTGGATCTCTATGAGTTCAAGGCCAACCTGGTATATATAGTGAGTTCCAGGACAGTTAGGGCTACAGAGATCCTGTCTCAAAAAAAAAAAAAAAAAAAAAAGAAAGAAAAGAAAAAAGAAAAAGAAAAAGAATCTGTAATACAAGAACTGTCTTAAAATACCTTTAGATTCTGAGAATAGCTTCTATATACTGATGGATAAGCACATACTATATTCAGCATTGATTTGTGAACAGAGGAAGGAAAGTGAGATGTCTTCTTCAAAGAGAATGGTTTACAGAAACATTCAAGAGTTACTGGTATCAAAGCAGATGAATTGATAATGAAGAAGATTACAATGCGTAGTTTAATAATTCATGAAAATTCACCCTAAGTATGGATTGGTTGTTTCCAGAATGATGGAGAATACCCACCTAACAGGCTACCATCGCTGCAGCTTCCGTTCATCAGATACTTTCCTTCTGGGCAGATGCAGCTGGCCCCAGAAGGATTCAGCAAGCAGAGAAAATCACATGACAAATCCAAGCAAGGATTGGGTACTGATGGAAAAAATAAAGGGAAGCAGGGACAGGTGGAACAGGAGTTGCAGTAAATTTCAAAACACACAATTCGTTAAGATGAAATGATGACTTAGCAATGTGGAGAAGAAATCACATAAATTTTTATTGAGACGATCTCATTTAATATTTGCATTTTCTTTTAAAAGTGATGAGAAATTGTTAT